TCTCAATTTACTGTAATGGGTTGGATGTAACATTATGTTAACAGTATGCCTCATAAAATGAAGAAGATAGCTCCTTTTCAGTCATTTCAAGGCAAGAGCTACACTCCAGGTAGTGGTGAGGGTGAAAAGCAGGGTAAGGTTAAGTACACTATTAAAGTTTAGGCACCTTATTGAAATCTTGGATAGAAATGAAGAAGTGATGGCTCCTTTCCCAAGTGATGGATTAGACAGCACTATATTAACCCCTGATGTATTACTTCTTCATCAAGATCAGATAAAAAAATATTGAAATTCTAGTCCATTTATAAACTGATGGACGCTAACTTTAAAAGTTTAGAATCTGTATAACTGTGATAGAAGGTGATCTTAAATCATAAAAGCTTTAAGCTCAAGAAATAGGATAACTCAATCACAACAAATCAGCTATAAAACATAGAATGCATCAAAGACTTCTATTCTAAATTATATGCTGACAATGTAGAACAATCAGAAACCAGTAACTGCCTGACCGCTGACATGCCTGACATAATTCCAGCAGAAGTAGAAGGTACTATTTGCAGCTTTAAATATGGCAAAGCAGCTGGCCAAGAAATTATCACAGGAGATATTATGTTGGTAGCTTTACAGAATATTGGCAAAATTATTTATTTACTGTTTAAAACAATAAAACATTCCACCATTCCACCATCATGGAAAGATGCCAAAGAAAGGAGAAAGGTGATGAAGAAGATATTAAAAACTACAGACCAATAAGAAGTTCTATATAAATTTCTTAGTTTTGAATTATTTCAGAACTAAGCAAAAACACGTGGCCAACTAAGAGAATGAGCTCATTTCTGGAAAGGATTTGACACTATAGAACAAAGACAAGTGGTTCAGCAAATTACAGAACATTGCAATGAATACCAGATACCACTTTTTCCTGGCCTTCATTGACTTTCAAAAAGCCTTTGACTCTGGTAAATTGAGTGTTATAATTGAAGCCCTTAGGGACAAGTGTGAAAGAATCCTACATCAGCCTCCTGAAATCAATATACAGAAATACCACAGCTACCATCCACATAAATGAAAAGACAATATACAATATACAAAATAAATTCAACAAGATTATTAAATTTATCAAAACTATCATCATCAAGCTTAGAAAAGATATTCAAACAGCTGAACTGGTCCAAAGTAGCAATAAAGATCAACCATATATGTTTTGCTGACAACATTGTCCTTTTCTCCAACAATCTGGAAACGTTCAAAGATGAATAACCTTCAAAGATGAATGAAAAATGACAATGGCAAGTTATCAGGCTTGAAAATGAACTTGAGGAAGAAACAAGTCATGTTTATTACTACTTCCAACCTTTGCCAATAAAAATTGTACTGTAGAAGGTCAACAATTACATCTAATCTTAGTTCAAAGATTACCATGGGAGGCTGATATCATTCTGAATGTAGTTTACAAATTATTAATCAAGTAAAAAAAAAAAAAATTGGTATTTCCTAGAGAATTAAATGTAATGCAGTGCCAAGCAAAAAACAGAAGCAATGAAAGTAAGTTAATAAATTTTATAAATATATCCTAGTGGTTTATAGTAGTTATACTAAAATGCCACAACCACAGAATATAGATAAACAGAAGCTAGTGGAGAAATAATATTGGATTTCATACAAAAAGTACTAAGACTAGGAAGATTAAAATATGATTTCACATTTACCATCAAAAATATCCCTAGCCTTTTTCCTAACCACCATCTGTGTAGTCAGATAACTGAATAACAGTTTATACAGTAATTATGTATATTATGAACCTATCCCTCCTCATGCCCAGTTGTGAAACAAACAAAACAACTGCAACATCACCACATAATAAAACTAAAATTGCTCTGCCTTCCAAAACTGAAGGATGAAGATTTCAGTCATCACTGACTTCCCAACTACATGAATATAGTTAAAAAAAATATGAACAGTTAAAATAAAACTGCTTTATTCCTCCAAGGATGGGAATGTGATCTGACAAATACCCTGAAGAAAGCATCTAAATCTAATATAGTTGCTTGTATGAAGCCTTTTCATAAACATTAACAGCCTCTTATCTATAGCAGCCAAGTCTAGCTTCCCCATAGTCCCCCGCCCCCATCTTAGGAGTCAAGTCAAAGGTAAATTTAAACATACAAAGGCTATACAAACAATTCTTCCAGGTATATCATGTACATCATCAGATTATGAAACCCAAACCTTAATCAAATATTGAATGACCCCCCCCAACTTTGATTGCTCATCTGTTAGCATACCTTATTTGTATTCTATTCAAAGACACATTAACACAAATAATTTTGTATTTCCTATTAATGCATAATTAGCAAATATATGTATAGCTATAAATGTCTAGCCCGTTACTAATATTATTGTGAATAGAATGACAACTGCATGTTGACAACTGAATGCAGGAAGATAGGCTGCTTTTATTTAAAAGGGCTGGCAAAATTGAAGTTTCCAATGCATGTTTTCCTTTTAAAGTTCATGGTGGATAAAATCTTGACATGATGCTTTTCCTGATCTCAGTTGGTAAATGTGATCCTTAATTTCTGCTTCAGATCATGTCTGGAAAACAGTGGATAAAGTACTAGACTACAGAATGAAAAGTGCAACGCCATACAGTATTAAAGATGGAATGTCCCCAGATCCATTGGCCCCAAAAATCCATGACTATTCAGTCTTGATAAGATTGATTCTGAGTCTGTTTATTCCATCCAGACCTGGACAGCCTCCAGACACAGGGACAGGACATCAATGCTGTATTTTGGTTGGCCTGGGGTTGAGATGTACTACTGGATATCATCTACACATACTATCCAATAAAACCACTTTTCACTGACCTACTAAGAAAAATATTATGTAGACTAAATTGTAAGAAGACAAAACAGGCCAAATGTTTTGACTGTGAGCCCTAGAACACATAATATCTCTCATTTAAATGGGGAATTTCAAGTGCAAATAAAAAGCCATCATTGGCTCTAGAACAGTCATTTAGATCACCACCAGTTGTAATGCAGGCATCAGGATAGCAATGTAACAAGTCAGAAATGTCTCTGGCAAGAGACTGTTCTAGACTACTCTTCATATATAGAAAGGGGAAAGATAAATGCTAATCAAAATATTATAAACAATGAGTTTAAATAAAAAAAACAACCCTAAAGCTAATTTAGCACTTGGCTCATGGTTAATTAGAGAGACAATAATTATGGTGCAAATAGGTATGCTTAAACTTCTTTTGTGTCTTATTTCTAATATATTATAAAATAAGGGAAGCCTTTAAGGCAAAGTCAAGCAGAAAAAGACAATATAAGACCCAAATGTTTAAAAAGCCAAATTATGTCAAAAGCACTAATAAAAATAGGTTTTTAGTGTATTAGGTAGCAATTGTAGTGTGTCTGTATGTACATATCTGTTTATATGAATTATTTCTACCTGGATATGAACTGTAAATAACTTAAATCAATAAAATCATTTATATGTGCTATTATTTATCAACTAGGATCTCAAGAATGCTTCAGTATTTTTATTGGAGCTCTCAGAAGAGCAGATAATTTTTTGCACAATTATTATGGTGGCATTGGAAATAAATATTGATAATAGGTATAATTAAGAACATATTAGAGCACCCTGATTGGCCAGACCAAGGTCCATCTTAGTCTAGCATTTTGTTTCTCATAGAGGACAACCAATTATTCTGTCTCACTTGCAAGCTGGAGACAACATGTCTTCAAATAGGTCTTCAAGACCAGTGTCCCTTCAAGACCAATAGACCTTTAAAGACATACCTTTCATTAATTTATTCAGTCTTCTATTAATGAATTCTACAGATTGTAGTAATGAATTCCATACGTTAATTATTTCTTCTCCATATTTTTTTTCCCCCCAAACACCTTCATTGGATGGTCCCTGGTTGTAGTATTTGGGGTCAGGAAGAAAAACTACTTTTCACTTTCTTCATGTGATGAATCAGCTGGTTCTTTTCAAAGCTAAGTCTTGATAAAGACTTGCTACAATATTATGTTGTATACATTAAAAAAAACTATATTAAAATTTTCTTTGAGACAGAAAATTCAATTATCTTTAAAAAATGGGTCTCACAAACGTATGCTTCTCACAAAATGATGATTTTATATGTGTGTGTATGTTACATTAAATGCACACATAAATAGGTTCTGATTGGACATTCATAGAAAAGTATTTATACAATTAAATCAATTTTGTCTTGTTTGGCTTTCACTGGTTGGTGCCAGTGCTGTGCAAGAAACCCCAAACCTTGTGTTCTTTTTCCCAACCAATTTTCCATTTGCTAAAATGCTTTAGAAATTTATTTCTAATGATGACGGAATTTTGGTGAAATAATTATGGAGTGTGGTCTTTTGATTTACCTATTTAGTCACCAGATTTTTTTATACAAATGCCTTGTATTCATCATACCATTATTTCTTAAGTAATCTGTATCCTCTGTAGTTCCCCACATTTCATTTAAGGAAATGAAGAAAGGAAAGGAAGGAAAACATTAGGAAGAAATAACTGCCAATGTGCAGTCAGAGTGGTTTCAGAATGATGGAAGATGTGAAATAAAAAAGCAACAACACCAGCAATAATACCTCTTGTCAACTCCAATAATAAAGTAACTTCAAAGACACCAACAAAAAAATTGAACAAAACTCTCAAGCAGCCTAAGGATAGCATAGAAAACAGCCATTTTTTGCTGGACAAAAAAAATAAAAATAAAAATAAAATTGTAATTCAAGCTTAATATTAAATGCTACCCAGAAAACAATTGAAGGAAGAAGTATTCTCCTTAGTCTTTTTTTTTTTTTGCTTTGTTTTGTTTTCTGCAACCTGGAAAGGCAGGATTTTTATACTAATATATGAGTATTTCACTCACAAAATATTTTATCTAACTGAAGTTATATTTATATTTTGAATAAATAAAATATTGATAATTATAACATATATTAATTTACCTTGTCACCTTCAGAAAAAGTTATTCCATCAATGGCTCTTTTCCAAGTGATTTCAGGAACTGGTTCTCCTTCTGCCTCGCATACCAGAGTAGCTTGACCATTTTCAAAGGTAGTTTCATTTTTAAGTTGTATTATTTGAGGCTGTACTGTTAGAAATACAAATTATATTACTTGTTCTTGATATGAAAGGATACATACAACACCGTGTAATCTTGATACACACATTTGTTTTACTCCTTATATTTATCTGTATTGTAACATTATTTCATTTTTGCTACAGGTTTTGTAGCTTAGAATATTAAACATTGGCATATTTTTTGCCTGTTTTCAGCACACCATACATTTAAGGTAAACTAAATTTAGTTCCATATGCTTAATGAAAATAACTATGATTGTGTAAAATAATAGTCTATTCAATCTCAGATATTCTTCTCTATCCTTGATCTTTCTCTCCACACTATGATCCTCTATAGATAAGATAGATGGGACATTATGAAGCCTAAATCCTGTATTTATTTATTTAATTATTTCTCCTTCTTCTTCTTCTTCTTCTTCTTCTTCTTCTTCTTCTTCTTCTTCTTCTTCTTCTTCTTCTTCTTCTTCTTCTTCTTCCTCTTCCTCTTCCTCTTCCTCTTCCTCTTCCTCTTCCTCTTCTCCTATTCCTCTTCCTCTTCATCCTCCTCTTCTCCCCCACCCTCCCCAGTTCTTTTGCTGTGGTCACAATTTATATATAATCCTAGCAGATCTCTCCAGAAGCTGGTTCTGTGAAAGAGAACTGTTTACAGCTAACGTTGTCACAGTGCTTTTCCTCTTCAACTTTTTTTATGAATGGACTAAGTGCCTCTGAAAATAGCAAAATGGCTTAATTTAAAAATAATCTGCATATATAGAATGTGCTGCAGAATATTCTATTATTTTTGTAGTCTTGATATAGGATAATTTCATTAATTCCTAATTTTATGGAGGCAACTGGAAAGATATGGTGATAAAAAATACTGCATTAAGACTTTCCAGGTTGAATGATTATAGGGGAAATTATAGGGGTAAGCAAAAGTAACTTTGATAAAGGTATACAGGAGCCATTAAGGGAAAGTAAAAGACAACTCCCAGGAAATAGGAAAGCATCAACTCTACCTTGATTCTTTTTGGTGTAAGAAAGGATGGGACCATTGCACAAATAAAAAGGGCTGAAACAAGTCCTGGGAAACCATACAGTATTTTGAAGAGATCAAGCAAGTTCCTCCCTGATTTACTGGGCTATAAGCACAGAGGCTTACAAGATTTATGACAGCCATGCAGGTTAGCCCAGATCAAACAACAGACTCCTTAGAAAGACAAGAACTATACTTCACTGAGATAGGCTATAGTAACAGAATCTTGCAAGACTCATACTGACTAAATCAATCAATCAATAAATTTCTCTTCTTCAGGTAAGTTGTTTACTCATTTTTCAAAAGATTAATAGATATTTCAGTATGATAGAAAAGCTACAAGCTTTGGCATATGTTATAATTTAAAGATGCTGCAAATAATACATATTATTTGCTCTATCTATCTATCTATCTATCTATCTATCTATCTATCTATCTATCAGCAATAACTAATTTTTACACCCATATCAACATGGCAATATCATCTAATCATTATCATCATTTAATTTCCATTTGAGTCTTTCATCTTTTCTCAGACTGTAGAAAATCTGGCTGGGTCTTTGCAAGTTGAAAGTCACAGATTTCCTGATTCTTGATTTAGAGTTACTCCTCTGTATAAAAGAGTAGAATTTTGACATGGTCTGGTAGATTGGACAGAGGAACTTATAATTTCTCAGTATACATTCATTACAATCTTTATGGTAGCAGTGGGTTTTATTTAAAAAAAATCAAACTTTTAATTTGTACTAAATGAAAAAAAAATCCCAACACTTTTTCTATAACCTTCTTTTTAAAAGGCCTGATTAAATATATATGTAGAGAGAGAGAGAGTGAAAATTAATAGCAACCTGAGATCAGATGGCTTTCCCAACTAATATAATTAGGGACCTCTGTATTTGTTTCAAAGTAAATGGAAACATTTCTAAGAAATTGTATATCCAATAAATTTGAACTGAGGTTCAGAGATAGCCAAACCAAACAATACTTACCAAAAACTTGCATGAAAGTCTGATTTGTCATTTTTCCTGCTTTATTTCTTGCTTCACAATTATAAGGACCAGAATCAATATTTTGTATATCTTTTATGGTTAGTTCCATATTGTTTCCTCTTAGTGTATATTTATCACTTTCTTCAATATGTTTGCCCTTCCTATAGAATAAGAAAAATATATAAAGACAGTATTCTTTATAAGGTGAATGATCCTACTAAACTCTAAAATTTCAACTTTGTTACTACTGTGTAATGTGCTAGTAACAGGAAAAGCACAGATTTTCATCACTAACTGGAAAATTATAAATTATAATTATTTCATTTATATGTGAAAATGCATTTTAATAGGCTTCACTGTCTAATCAAATAAGAACATATAACTTAATTTGTAATTGATGTAGCAATTTTATTAATTCAAATAAATTAAATTAATGCATCTGACATTCTATAATCATGAGGTTTCAAATTCTACCTGTTTTATTATTGAAATTAAAACTTGTAATCAACTATCACAAATGACATAATGAATTGGACATATCCTGAGGACTTAAGCTGGCTGCTTAACAAAGCTAAAATCATGTAGCTTAACTGTATGATATAGGAGAAAATGTTCTATAATATAATATTACAATATCATTCATTAATGGTATTTATAACTTATTCATGCCATGAAGAATGTATTTTTTCCTCATAGTTATAAGAAGGGGAAGGAAAACCGAAAAATATTTTTGAGTTGATTTCTGAATACTTTCATTTTGATTACTGAATACCTTCATATAAAGAAAGATTTATATTCCAAAAGATGTAAATCATGTAAACTTCATGCAGGGATATATATCACTGAGGAGATATGATGCAAGGATCAGAATGCTATCAATATTTGCAGAAATTCTCAAGAAAAATATCACCAATGAAACTATTAACATTTTATATTTATTTTATTACCAAGAAAATTTCTTTTCATTACCATTAATAATTTCAAATAATATCTTACACATCAAGACATTTTCATATACCATTTTTACTTAATATGCTAAATCTGTTACTTCTATTCACAAATGTGATTTGTATACAGCAAGAGATTTCTGAAGCTTTCTGTAAATGAATTTCTCCATCTTGTAAGAACAAAAATCTTAACCAGCAACCTGTAATAAATGAGTATGCTCAAATATATTTTTTTGCAAAAGTACACAAAGTGACTTTCTCCTATGATTCTCAGAATAAATACTCACTTCCCCAAAAGAATAATAAGATTATTTCTTCTTTAATATATTTGTATGGCTGTAGAGTCTGAATTTAATGTAAATATATGAACCAATAATATAGATTTCCCGAGTGATTAGCCTTATTTATTACATTTAATTTTATATAATTGGCAGTGTTCAAAACTATAGAACATAATTTTGAGTGAAAATTCCTTTCTGTACTGCAGAATCTGAAAAATCTGTCTTGATACAAAAATAACATTTTTTATTATCTTTAATATTATTAACTATGTTTAATCATTATATCATTAAAAGGCCCTAGAGGCACACTGGAAGAGTTTCTGAGAATACTTGTTTGGGATGTTGAGACTTTCTTCAGCATGACACATTATTTACTATGCTAGTGTAGTTCATAATCCAATTAGACATTTTTCAGTGTGCATCTTTTTGCTGTATGTTTACAGCACTTAGCCAGTGTGCATGTTAATTTAATGGCTTACACAGAACCTGATACAAGAAGAAAATATTTAGCAAGTCATTCACATTCAGAACTGAACTCAGACTGGGAACAAAAACTTTCTCAATCAGCACTTTTTTAAAAAATTCCTATTGACTTAAAAGTTCCATTCATTATATAGTTATTCCAAAACCCATTGTATTTTAAATATCTCTGCTTGCAAAACTTACCTATACCAGTTGATTTCAGGTTCAGGAGAACCAGTAGCTCTACAGAACAAAGTAACTGCCTCTCCCCGATCTGCCGTAGCATTAAAGGACTTTTGGAGCAAAGTAATGGTTGGAGGAACTGGATAAATATAAAACATGGATGTGATGTTAGATAATTGAAAACAGATTTCTTTTGTCCCTCAAAACATCTCTCTATAATGATTTCAACATGGAATCTGGAAGATTATAAAGGAGAAATCAGGATGAAAAAAAAAAGTGTCATTTATCTTCTTGAAAACATCTGATGATATTTTGTTTTACTGATATCGAGAATAAAGTTAATTAGCAGCTAATGGTCCGGGTTCCAGCCTTATTTATTTATATGAGAATTATTAATGCAGAAAATGTTCCTGTAAAATATATATATATATATATATTTAAATAAACAATTTCACTTGAGGAAATTTAAATTGCAACTGATACTATGTTGGATAGCAATATTTTATGAGCAGTTTTAAATATGAAGGTCAAAACATATTATTTTCTGATTTATTATTTATTTTATGGATTTGCTCCATTTCTAGAGGCTGGGTTAGTAATCAAAATTGTTACCCAAAGAAAGAAAAAAAGTCATATTTTAAATTAATATACAGAATTCTATCCCCTTCTGAAGGCCACAAGATCTAAAACAAGGTGAGCAGCCCTTCACAAGTACACTAATCCTCTTTTTTGTGAAACTTTCGACAAGGTTGAATTTCATTGGTATGATTCCCAAAACAGAGAGTACATGTTCCTGCAAATGCAAGGACACATGCAAATTGTAGGAAAACAACAACAACAAAACTGTAATATAGGCTGAACCATCCATATACCATTCAGATACTATAATATTTTATCTTGAAAGTTACTGTTTGTGTATGCAAGCAAATAAATATTTTTTAGCAAGTTGAGCCCAGGAATTGATGTAATGCTAATATTATCACAGAAGTATTTGAGGGGTCACATTTGTGGGTTTTTTTTGGGGGGGAGGGATTAGCAACCCTGTCAAGGATATTGCGATAACCTTTAATACAAGTTTGAGGCAGAATTTTCAGCAATGTAGAAATTCCTTTATCTATAATATTCCTCTATGGGGATCAAGAGATGACATACAGTATTTACCATTTGTATATTGAGGGAAAATTCTTAGGTATGTTAGAAAATGCAGCTCTAACATATTTGGAAAGTGAGACACTGAGAAAGACTAACGTAAGAACATGTTATCACCAAACCAAATACTGCTCTAAGCACAGAGCCAAGCCTTGTAATATAACCTCATTTTACTCCAACTTTAATAGTGGAGACAGTTTGGAGAAAAGATAATTTGCTTCACATAAATGTCTCACATGGGAAGCAGCTCAAACATGAAGTAATTTTAAGCAGTTTTCAAATTGCAGGTATTTTAAGTGAAATGACTTTAGTAGTATTAGATGAGTTAATCAATATTAAATCTTAAGTCAATAGGTTCTAGCATTCGTAATGAAAATGTGCGGATTATAATACCATTGTTAAATACATGAGAATAACCTTTGCTAGGAGGAATCAAAAGGAAGCCTGTATCACCATCCTTTCAGTCACACTTTAGAATATGGTTGGACAATACATACTGGCTATTGTATTACCTGAGCTTTACAAACACCTATACTGACATCTTGAACATTTAATATAGATGCTAATATTTCTACATTTATCCTTACGAATACAAATCTACTCTAACATATATAGCTTCTTTTCCAACTCTTTTTATTTTATTTTTTCTGATTACATTCTCATGTTTGATCGTTATGAGTTGTTTCACTGAAAAAGCAATTCAAATTAATAAAAAGCAAAAAAACAAAAACAAAACCCCACCCTGTTTCACAAAATCTGTGAATGATTTAAAAAAAAGGAACATCAAAGCAAGGGTACATGTAGGGTATGCAAGTATTCAAGACTAATAATTTTATAAATAACTGTCAACTGGAATTCCACTTGTACAAAAGGGTATCGACTGTATTCTTCAAAACAATCTGAAATATTGATTCCAGAAGTTAACATTTAAAAGCCTCCAGAACAGCATGGAATTAGGATGTGTGAAGATAACTTGTTAATCAAATGAAATTATAAAATACCATCCACTTCCTTACAGAAGTAAAGTCACATTGCTATCCAGTGAAACCAGGAAAACAGTCTGTGCTGTCTCGTAGCATTTCCAGCTACGGGCAATATCAGAAGTTAAGAGATCTGCTCAGCAGAATAAGCTAGGAAGCAGCTCTCTCTCTCTCTCTCTCTCTTTCACACACACACATACACACACACAGATGATAATACCTACTTCCAAAGCTCTGAAATATGAAGGTGACATAAAAAAAAAAAGACAACAATGTCATAAAACACTGGACATATATAAGTTTGGATTTAAAGATAAAATAGATGGAACATCAGACAATAATATTGCTCTTATCCCCCTTCTAGTGGAGGAGGAGGGGGAGAAGGAGAAGGAGAAGGAGAAAGACTAGTATTGAAACATTTGTATATTGTTATGTATATGATGTTAGGAGTACCCCCTCTCCTAAGATGGAGTCAGAGGAGTGGCCCTGATGGCAAGCTCTGTTTTGTGCTTGTTTTGTTTGGCACTTAGCCATGGTTTTATGGACCTTTTGCTTTCTTTTATTTTTGATATTTTATTTTATCTCATTTTATTTTACTTATCATATGAACCCCAAACTACCCAAATTACAGGCACAAAAAAGAGACACAGAACCAGCCTGGGAATTCTGAAACCAGCTGAGGCAGCAAAACAACTGAATATTAACCAGCTTCTCCGTACAAAGGCTGCTGCTGAAGATCTAATCTCCTGGAACCCCATGAACTCTCTGAATAGATTTGAGGTGTTACCTCAGCAATCCGATAGAAGTGTTGGATTCCTTTCTTCTAAACAAGGCAATGGATTCCTCTGGAGCAATGACTTTCAAGAAAACATTGTATCCAGGAAGCATTCTGCCTACCACCTGTACTTATGCCTTTAATGAGGTATTCACAGATGAGCTTTACAAGGATGTAACTGCAAAACCTCCCTCAGATTTTTCTGCTAAATACTGTCTTTTAATTGTTTATAGCTTTGTTTGAGCAACTAGCAGCTATCTCTGTTAAAACTGATGACCTGAGGAAAAATTTTGATGCTCACACAGACTCCTCCCAAGAGATAAAAAGAAAAAAAACAAAAAACCCTTTCACCAAGCTTCCATGCCATATAGTTTGAAAGCAGCAAATTTACTGCTGCTGCAAGTCCAGACAATAAAAAGGATTTTTCCCCACTTAGCAACACAATCAACTATTTTATTTGTTCTCCATAGCAATATTAATGCAGGAAGATGGTCTAGAAGAGATTTTACTCATTTTTCTTTGAGCCAATTATTTGGCTCAAATAATAGTAGAGACCAGACTTACACTATCGGTCTTGTGAGTATTAAGTGGCTCCCTAATGTGAATGGCAGAAAAAAGGATCCAGTTTGTTTCTGATCCCCAATATTGTTAAAAATGAGCTCCTACTGGAATTTTGGAATTTCTTTCACCCACATGTTCACTGACTGACAAATGTGAGACCTCTATTAGACAATCAGTTCCTTGTGATGCTGTGTCCAGCTGTTTCTATTACCTGGACTCTATTCTTATACTCTTATACTCACTGGTATTATAAATTTCTGTGTGTACTTTTATTTATGAACATTCTAGATTTTAGACATTTTACTGTTTTTCCATATTTTTTTTTCTTCCAACAAAAGGCATCTTGTATTCTATTCTTTAAGAAGCCAATTGCTTAATTTGCTTGGGACTGTAATAAAGATCTATCTATATGATTTCAGGAAATAATAACTATGTTATCAGTTTCCTGTGATAAGGAATTCATATATATTTAAGTGGCAGAATCACTACATAGGTACCAAGTAAAGCCAATTAAACTGCAAAGAACCTTTTACTGCTGTTAACATTTCAGAGCAATAGAACAAGAAATTCACAAAGTGTAATTATACTGTGAATTATATTATGCTACATTTGTCAATTTTTTACTGTATTTTCTCCTAGTTTGCTTTCTGGTCTCCTGTTCACCATCCTATATATTGCAATATGAAAAGATGATATGTGTCTCTGTGTGTATATGTACAGTATGTGCATTTTTTTTAACGTCTTGGCTTAGAATTTAGTAGTGATTGAATGCAATGTTCGGTGTTGTTTTATCAATGTATTGATAACTGAACAATGTAAGCAACCATAATTTATTCGTTGGGTTGCTTTTTTTAAAAAAAGGTAGCATATAAGTACTTAACTTTTTTTTTTTTTTAATCTCCTGAATTGCTACAATTCTGAGATGAATCCAAGAATATATTTAGCACTGCTCCTCTGGTCCTGGAGCATTTTTAGCTGATTCTCACTTAATTCTACAGCCTCCTAAAACAGTATAGGAAGTCACACTGTGATTCCTCACTGTGAGTGAAAGGAATAGAATGTTCTTCAATTCTTAAGAAGCAAGACTGAATCCAACTCACTGATTCTGAATAGGCAAATTAGTGCACATAAAATAACTTGTAAGAGTTTATTAATCTCTACAGTTTGTTTTCATGAAAAAAGTAAATTAATGAAAAAAAAAGGAAAATGTAATACTTTTCTACCCTTTTCAAACATTTTTTATGAAATTAAAATAAGAATATCTTTTTAGATCTTGTCATGCAACATAGCAAGTTTGGTCACTGAGTAATGCATTCAAAATGTATAACCCTCTGTCTCTTGCGTTTACATATATTTTTTTCTTCAAGATAAATTTCACAACAAAAAAAAATATTGATATATTTTATATAATCCAAATCATCCATATTATGATAACATATAACATATCCATGTACAAACTTGGAATGATTTATAGCCTATATTGCAATGATACCAAAGTTAGAGGACACATTTATACAAGTGAACCACATATACTCATCTTGGAAGTGATGAGTTAGTGCTCAAAGGGCAATGCTGAAGATTGACTGCTATAGAGTCCTTACTACAGAGACCAAACTAAAGCCAAAAGATGCTAGGGAATTCTTGGAAGCTTGGCATTCAGACAAATCAGCCATCAATAGAAACAAAGAGATAAACCACATTTACACACCATTCAAAAGAGACAATAAAAAAGATAAAAAGAAAAAAAAAAGTCACAACACATCCACTCCAGCACCCAATTGCCAGATAAGCAGGGATTAACACCAGGCAAACAATCAAGCAGAGAACAATACCATAATGAAGGAACTATCACGGAACCCTAATGAAGGATCTACCCCCCACCCCAACACCGGCAGGGCAAGCTGTATATCAACAGGGAGAAAACCACTTGCATTGAAGTGAGGTATCTAGTCAGGTAATGAAATATTTACAATCAAACAGCCAAGCTCAGAGAGCTCCAAGGACTCTACAGTTCAACCTTGAGCTACATATATTCTCTTCTGTTGGAGTGACTACTATAGTTTTACCCTTACAAATTAATTTACCTTATTCTAAAACACTAAAACATCAGAAATACAGTTTAGTTTAGGTTCTTACCATTTACAGTTACAATGATATCCCGAAAGTCAATTTCTCCTCTGGCTTCGACTCTTCCTTCACATCTGTATACTCCTTCATCACTTTTATTAATTTTAAGAATTTGAAGATTGTTGTTTGGCAACATGGCAAATCTATCTGGAAAAGCATACAAGAAAAATATTATCCATAAGTAATGGCAATGAGTAAATATGACTTTTGACATATTTAAATACTTCTGCTATACTATTAAAGCATTTATCAGCAAAACATATTTCAAATTTCACAGAATATGTAATCCTGAAAGTTCAATTCAGTATTTTAGATTTCTTACATCTTGTATTTATAATAGATCTGTGCAATACTACTTACATTCATTTTGATAAAGAGATTTGCACTGCTGGGTGACATGATTCCTTTTGTTGAATTAAAGACATGATGCAATTGGTCTTGACAAAGCAATTTGAGCCTTGGGTTTTATTCACTTAACTCAGGCTGGGAAGGATAAAATTTGTGCCTCTTTTGTGTTTAGCACAAAAAATGCTAAAACCATTATAAAGCTAAGACTGAGATATCATTCATATAAAATATTATATAATAAATCCAAAGCAAATGATGAAAAATTGTCAAAGTAAAAAAAAAAAAAGTAAATTTTCCCATCCTTTCCCAAATATAATTGATGGTGTAGCTCATCTTCCCATCCTGCTAAGTGGCACAGGAAGATACCCTGCTATCCATTTATAGAGGGTACATTTTCACAATGCAACTTTCATCTCAAATACAAAGTAGTATTTCAGTGTTTTCCTCTCCTCCCAACAAGTCTGGGTTTATCCCCTTTCCTCTGGTTATTGGTCATAGCCTACATGACTACTTTGGCTTGGGCATCAAGAGATACTGGATGTGTGGCTTCTACAGAAGCATCTACTTGAATTATGTCTGATTAGTAATTGGTGAAGCACTAATCAGGTGTTATATACAGGGTTTTCATTCATCTTTCATTCATTTAGCTGTCACCCAATTCCAAACCAATATCAGGAAGCTCACAAAGTAACAAACAGAATAAAAGTACAAGATAATTTGAAAATTAAATAAACAACAGATGTTGAACCCAGCCAGCAGCACAAGACCTATGCAAACACAACCAGCAAGGGGCTTTAGCTACCCTAGGCAAAAGCATGGAAGAAAAGCCAGGCCTTTAAGACCCTCTGGAATACCATCAGGGTATGAGTCAGGGTATGAGATCTCAGATATGAGATATGATATATGAGATCTCATTGCAACAGAGAATGTACACTTCCTGGGTCCTGATAAATGACATAGTCTGATTGAAGCTCAGGGAGTGCACCAACCCTGTCAGCTTGTACCAACCTGCAAGCACCATGGGAGACAGGCAGTTCCCCAAATAACTGGGCTCTATGCCATGTAGGACTCTATAGGTCATAGCCTATAAACTTCCAAACTGCCAACAAGTGCAGCTTGTTTGGATTACATGGACATACAAAGACATGGCCATCACTGCCACACCACTGCATTCCGGACCAGTAGAAGCTTCCAGTGGTAGGATTTGTGTTATTCTGAAAGAGCATTAGACTTAAAACAAAACAAAACAAAACAAAAACAAAAACTTTTAGCAGTCCTTTGAAAAAACTGTAGATCTAAGTAAAAAAAAAAAAAAACCGAACTAGCACCGTGCACATAAAGTAATTTTAAACCATGAGAGACAGCCAGGTTTGCCAGTAGTCTGCAGCTGGTTTTGTCTGTAATGGGTGAATGACAGGCAAGACAAAGCATGTGGGACTGAGACAGAAGAGGATAAGCTCAAGGTTCCTCATAACCCTTTTACCCCACCAGGGGATAGATTAATGTAAAGGGGTAAAGTAATAACCACTCAGGTTATTTCTGGAAAGAGATCTATCAGTCTTCTGGAAGACCAGTTAACACATGTCCCAAAATAATCAACCAATAGGTAATGGAGTGGAAGACCAGCATGGGATGAATGAGGAAGAAACCATTTTGAGGTTTTTTGTGAGTTCTCTCCCACTTCACCTTACACTGTTTCTCTGTCCCACAGACCTTTCAGCTGGGCTGTTTTTGGACACAGATTGAACAGTCTTCTAGATCTCCAGCAGAGCGATGTACATAAATAGTCTGAGTGAAAGTTACCAGTATGGAGCATTTCCACACTGCTAACATGCCACTTGGGCAAAATTAAAGGTAGCTATAGTTTCCCTTTCTCCACCTGTCCATATTTGTTGAAACTTGTCCCATCATACTTTAAAGATAAAAAGTGAAGCACTCCTCCACTTTTTGGTATGTGTATCCTCCACATACCAGCTAGTGATGCTAGGAAGGAGGGGAAACAAAACTAGGTAGATTTTTAATTTACTGTTTTGCAGTAAAGGTATAAGGACAGAATTATTTGCAAACCTCATTACTGAAACAATAAAAGTTCAGCCACTGATGTAATAACAATTATGCCAGCGTATTTTTCTGTCAACTAAAGAACCAGAAGAATGCATATTAGTACACTATAAGGAACAGCCATAGTTACTTAACAGGAGATTAGTAGATAGGAATCTAAACTGATGATTATTTTGTAACAAGTGATAAAGTTTAAAATTCAAGACTTAAAAAAATATACTTTAAATAAAGATAAATAATCTTCCTATTATCAAACTTGACTTATAGTGACTTTATGGACAAGTTCATGTAGTTTCTTGGCAAGAATTCATTAGTTTATACTGCTTTGTTCCAAGTTTTTTTTCCTAATACTTAGTCTAGTCAACAGTTCTGGTATTTCTTGATATTCTCCTTTCCAGATACTAACCTGATTCAAAATTGACTATCTTTCTATGATCAGCCAATCTTGGTTAGGTGCTATTAGCTAGCTTAACAATTCTTTAATAATGGCACATTATGAATAAATATTTATTATTATAAACAAAGTTAATTATTATAGATAAACCTCAAAATAGCACAAAAACATGCATTTTCAAAATTTTACCCATATCAGAAATGAACTCAGTGGAATCCTGACTATGATTTGAAAACCACAAGCTTGTGGTCTGTACCCAAAGATGGTAATAGATGTACTGTAGTCAATCAGTTCCATTCAACAGTCAACTCCTTGCCTGCCCCATTTCAGTTCAAAACTGAACTGAAGTTATTGGGAACTGATTAGTGGAGTTAGTGGAAGTTATTAAAACATTTTGGCTAACTCAATGTACAGAAGAGTTTTAGAGAAAGAAGGACAGCTCTAAGGACAACAATTAAAAAGGTGAAAAACTAAGATAAAAAACAATTAAAAGGGGGAAAAATGGAGCTGAATTTTTTGGGGGAAATTTGACTAAACAGATGTGACATCTGAACCTCAGATTTATGTCAAGGTTTTTCTAATGTGAATTACCATTTAAATTACTATGTCATATTTTTTTTTAGTAAACCTTTGGAAATTTTTGTACATAGTCTTCATATCATAGAGCAAACAGTAAAATCGGATGCAATACCCATGTCAAGTTAAATATTCAAGGACTTCTATTTCTTGATTCCACGTAACACTTTCTTAAATATGAAGAGTATTATGTGTATACAATCTGAATGAATTTGTAATAAAACATATAATTTAAAGAGTTACCAAAATACTAACTGTCAGCAATATTTGAGACTTCCTCATTTTGATATAACCAGCTGACAATAGGTGCAGGTGAACTAGTAACACGGCAAATGACTTGTACATCTTCTCCCTGTACAAACTCTTGTGGTGATGAGACATCTTGGAATGTGAGCTTTTCTAAGAAAAAAAAAATGAAATATTTATTTATTTATTAAAAATAATTAATAGATTATCGTTTATTTTGTTAAGAATTTCAAAGTAGATAAATCATTTATGAGTCACCATGACCACTTTTTGTTGGCAAAAAGGCTATGTATAATTATGATTCAGAAAATCTATTTCTTGATTTTTAAAATATTTTAAAGTCCATATAACTTCATGAACTTAAAAATATAGAACATCTTTCATACGTAAGGGATGAGTGATCAACCAAAACTATTACTCAGATTTTTGAATTTTCTTAGGTAGTTTCTTTTTAAGGAAGCTGAGTTTTCATTGTGCTATAATACATTGATGTTCTAAGTGTGTTGGTTATAGTGTTCTTGAATTAACATGCTCTGTTAAAGCCTACCTACATATACAATAGTTACCATATTTGGATAGCAAAGATCTGGATGAGACAGGGCAGAGAGTTATTCTTTCTCTCTTTGCTACTATCTGTTGGTTATCTGGATTTTTAAAGCTTAGATATGATAGCCCTGTTCTTAACAGTTCACTAGAAGAAATAATATAATTTAATTATACACTTTGTAATTAAATTTTCAGAGATTTCTACTCAACATTTCCAGCACTATAAGTAGAAGGAGAAAGATTGATAATGCATTAACTTACGGTAAATTTCCAAAACAACAGTAGCTTCTTGACTAAACCCTAAAGAATCTGTTGCTTGACACCTATATATTCCCGCATCTTCCACATTGGCATTGTAAATGGTTAATCGTGATCTGACACCTTCTTTCTGCACAACTACTCTTTGATTAGAAATGATCTTCTCTCCTTGTGGATTATACCAATCTATACTCTCAGGTTCACCAATTACTAAAAAGGAAAAAAGAAATAATGAATATAACAAATGTTCAAAAGATACTTAAATGCAAACATATTATTTGAATGAAATTAAGCAGCTTTTAAAAATTTATACCAAATCAAACATTTAAAAAAAAATCAATTATGTTCTTTTTGCAATATTAGGAGACAATAAAAACATAATATTATGTCTTATATAGCACCTCCTGTAACTGATTTATAGATGAAGATGTGTGCAAATTCAAACCATACTTTTTCATGATTAATTTATTGACTTTAGAGAAAACCATGTTCTGTAACATTTTGCTCACAGTTCTTTTTTCAGAAAAGACCTTGGGTGACCTCCAGGAAAAAAAAATTGACTCCTGAAGACTGCAGAGTCTTGGCAGATTGACCTCATATTGAGTCGTATGCCTTTTGAAATTGAAGAACAGCTCCTTTGTGCTGTCTAGCCTGTCTTTCCAAGGATGAAGAGATTGTCAGTATTTTTACTCCTTCCTGGTTGTGGAGAGATCCAGACCAATGAAAGAAAGCTGTGCAAGCCAGGGGAAGAAGGCTGGACAGCAACAAGCAGGATTCCAACCTCTCTGTCCACCCAAGCACTGTATTTCCTTAGCGAGCACAAGCATTCTAATCTATATACTACTAAAACTCTTGTGTCTGTAACCTTCAGCTGGGCAAAATGATGTGTTATAGGGCAACAACTTTTGAACCAAGGTACCTCACATGGCTAACTTACAGAATGTGTCCAAAATGTGGGAGCCATGACTTCTCATGTTGTCAGCCCAGGTCACATGATCATCATGGACATATCCCCAACCTGTTTCCTGTCTTCATGTGGCCCCTGTACCCAATTGGGTGGCAGCAAGGCCCTACAGATGAGCAGCAATTGGCTGCTTTGGAAACGAGGCAGAAATTTGAAATCTCTCAAGGGAAGGATGAGGGAGTGACTTGGATGCCTGCTGGTGAGCTAGGGCTGGGTGGGAGGTGCTTGCAGTCAAAAGGTGAGCTCTCTTCCTCCCTTGAGAGACAGGGCCCTTGGGGACACTCCAGAATGAGGGAGGGGGTGCAGTTTTCCTCACAGTCCATGGCTTCTTCTTTTTTTTCACCCAGCAAAGTGGCAGGCAATTCTGTTGGTCAACTGAAGAGAAGGAGACTTCACTGGGCTCTCCTGAGAGTCATGAGGGAGGGCAAACAGTGCAAGCCTATATTACAGCATATGTGGAAAGGAAGAAAAGGAGAGAGGAAGATTCCCACAAGCTTCCCACAAGCAAAGTCAAATGGGGAAGCCAGCAGCAAGTCATAAACTGCTCACACTCCCACTGTTTTTTTTCCCTTGCTCATTCTGTTTCTCTGTTTAGGTAAGGAAATATCTCTGAAATGATGACCCAATGGGTATTGGGTTGTCTAGTGTCCTCTAAACTGCTATGTTTGATACCTTGTCAAGAAGAAGATATCCTTATTAAGGCAGGCAAGAACATAGACATACTGCTCTTTTTGGTAGGATTTTAATCTACCCAAAAGCTTTAATCCCTAATTTGGCTCAATATTTCTAAAACTGGCATTCTTATATATTAGAAACTAGCTGACAGACAAATCTAGATGGCTTATAAAGGGAGCCTACCATGGTAGAGAGGCCACGTACCCTCAGAGAACACTTCTATGATCCCTGCTCATAGCTAACAGTGTTACGGTATGATATTAAAGTGACCCAAGGATGACTTTCCCAAACAGCTATAGGAGTGGATAAAATCCTTCTCTAGCCTCTTCCCATTTGCACTGTTGATTCCTAGATCCTGATAACATAATAACACAACTATCAAGAGATTTGCTAGATAAAGCCTCAAACTATCTTCCTTGGCAATTCCTTCTGTTAGTTAAAAGAAAGGGGCTGATAAGGTTTTAAGGCTATTAACCTCCTTGGCAACCTTTTGTTCAGCCAGCAACCATTAATTAACAGACAGCTGATCAACTGTTTTTCTTTTTCCTCCATCGTGATGCTCTTTGGTTCATCTCACATTCTCTTCCTCCCATCTTTATTTGGTGGAAACTCCTGAACTAGTAATATTTATGCCTTAGGAGACTCTCAGCCTGCTTCCCCTGAACTTCAGTGTAAGGTCTTTGCAGTAGTAAAACGGTTCTTTCTGTAAATCTTTTGTTATCTTTAAGGTTCTCATTTTTTCAAATGGGCATGTAGCTTTCTATTTTCATACTTATTCTGGATCTCTCATAATCTTACTTTTAAGAGATGCCTCACAATGTAATAGCTTTAAAAAAAACTTGGCTTTCTCTCTCTATAGGTGAGCTTTGTCAATGCTCTATTAATGTGAATGGACTGTCAAAATCCCTTGCATTCTCTGCTTTTCTTTGAGCTTGTTCTTTGAACTAAATTTACTGAATTCTCCAAAGGGTGTACACACTTCTTGATTCCACCACAATTTCTTGATTTCACCCTAATTTTTCAGATCCTACTCTCTGTTTGTTTTTTCACTTTCCTAGTCGTCTGTCTAATGCTATGTATGTTTTATGAACATTGCTTGATATTACTCATATTGGGATTGGAGTGATTGAATATTAAATGTTCAATATTAGAAGCGTATTAAGATCTTAGTGTTCAGTCCTGGAAGAATTAGCACTGTGGGACACTCCAATTCATTATAAAAGTTAATTCTGATATGTGACCAGACCTGACAATTATTGCCTGGAACTTCTTCTTTTGCACACCAAATCAGGTATGAAGAGTTCTCCACATAGTGGAGGGAAGAAATATAGTGGTTTCATAGTATTCAACCCTGGATGTCCTGACAAATTGTTCTACATTCCTGCTGGAGTATCCTAATCTGCCACTGGAAGGGGTAATTCCTGATCTTTTTCTTTAAACTTAAGTAGCTCACTTGGGTCAAAGAAGGGGCACTGACTCTGAACTCTCACACATTGATATGCTGCATCAGCTGTAAAGAAACAATAATTATTAGCCAATCCCAGTATAGATGGATGCCTGTGTATTAGGTAGTAAGTTTACTGTTTTAAGTTATAGTTCTCAGGATGTGCTGCATGTGTATTGTGTCCTATATTGTGCTTTATTTTGCAAGCAAATAGCCATTAGACACACACAAAGCATTTACAATAATGTACTACGTGCACCATAGAAGTGTTTCTAATGCAATTGGGAATTTCAGATTGTAAATCATAAATGCAAAAGACTATTGGCTTGTTTGCATTTCAGTGCAGAAAGATTGAATTGATTTCATTGGAATGTTGAGCGTTACTGTATTTGTTTTGTGTTCTCTATGCATGCTGTTCTTGTTGTTGAATACTACAAATGAAAAAAAAAAGATCCTGTTTTTGCTGGTTCATTGACTATTGTTATCTGGTTAGCATTGCACTAGGTTACTATATACTGACAAAGATATATAACACAAAGCTTTTGCTTGAGAAAAATCCTTAATAAATATAAAAGGCTCACAATAAACTATCCAAACAGAACCATTTAAAAACTCTTGTTATACAATTGTATTTCATATTGACTTTTGAAGAATAATTTCCTGGTAATTATAATATTCTTGATTTAAAAGTTTGAATTCATTCTACTATCCTTGACTTCTGTACTTGCACAATCTCTAATACTTTTAATAAAGTATTTAAAGAAGCCACTAAGATGTACCATACCTTTTCCAGTTAAAATTTATAATAATATTGACAATGAAGCTAATACAAAACAATAAAATTCATTATACCTGTACATGTGAAGAATTTGGATACACCCACACTGACTTCTACCTTGCTGAGGGAAATTGACACTTGAAGTGCTGTAAGACATAAAGTAATAGATTTAAGGTAGTCTACTTAAATAAGAAAATTTAGAAAACAAGAAAAATAATAGAAAAATGCATACATTGATATATACAGTACATTTTTTCTTTTATATATAAACTTGATTTGAACATTGTAAACATCATAATAATTTTAAATAAGTTTTATTAAACTTCAGTTCAGAAGCAGAATGTGGCTATCAGACAATTAATAATTCAGATACACAAAACAATCGGAGCTACAAACCAGGTTAGAATACCCAGACCGGCATATAATATTCTTGGTATATTCTCACTGAATATGTGTCTGTATAAAAAGCTTATATAAATTGTTTATATTCCTTTTTTCTCATAATTATTACAAATTAATTATTGAAGTCCAACATGAATGAATCCATTCAATATGCATGAATAACATTGAGAGCCAATTTGGTGTAGTGGTTAAGGTGCTGGACTAGAAATTAAGAGACCATGAGTTCCGGGCCTTTCTTGGGCATGAAAGGCATCTGGGTAGCTTTGGGTCATTCAATCCCTACCAGCCAATCTACCTTACAGGGTTGTGGGGAAAATAAGAGGCAGATACATTATGCATGCCATCTGGAGTTGGAAAAATAAAGGTAAATTATAAATCAAATAAAAAAATAAAAGACAACAAGTTAGTTCAACTATTCCAATCACTCTGCTGAGAGAAGTATCAGTGACTTCAAAGAAACTCCCCCCCCCCATTAATTAGACTATAAATCTTATTCATACATTATTTTATTTAGATAATGTATTTATATCATTTATATAGCCACCCATCTCACACAAGTGACTCTGGGCAGTTTACAGGATTAAAAACAAGCAAACCCCCCCCCCCCCCATTAATTAGACTATAAATCTTATTCATACATTATTTTATTTAGATAATG